TCTCTTCCAAGTGCCAACATCAGAATTTTGAGATACTCTAGCCATAAAGAGGGAGGGCTATCACCCTCCCTTCAACACGCATCCACTCTAACAGGCACTCAGTATCAACTCATTTTCAGGCAGCTGTGATTGTTGCTGCTGATGGCAGAATAAAGAAGCCATGGCCATGTCTTAGGGGTAGACAAGCTCATTGTGTAGGGGGAGAGACTACATAAAAGGCAGTATCTCATAGCACGGAATGACTTAACCAGCATTTAACATATTGTGTATATAATAATTACATTATGCTATTATCAGATGTGTACAGTACATACTGTATATTTTGTTTTATTTTAACTTGCTATATAATAGAGTATAGCATAACTTAGTATGTGATATAGTACAGTATAATATAGTATAACTTGCCCTGGCTGGTAGAGCTCAGTGGATTGAGCGCGGGCCTATGAACCAGAGGATCACGGTTTGATTCCCAGTTGGGGCACATGTTTGGGTTGTGGGCCAGTTCTCAGCTGGGGACACACGAGAGGCAACCATACATTGATATTTCTCTCCTTCTCTCCTTCCCTTCCCCTCTAAAGATAAATAAATAAAATCTTTAAAAACTATATAGTATAACTTATAGTCAATACATTTGCTATATCTAGGGAATAGAAAGTACTTTGGGGCTGTAGCTGGCTGGCAATTGTGAGCATACCCACTAGGCCCATGGCAAAGAGGAACTGTGAACTTGAGAAGCTTGCCATTAGCTGTACACGATTCTGCTTCCCACACTTTCCTGTGTGTGTTAGTTTCCCGTGGCTGCTGAAACAAATTACCATACACTGGGTGGCTCATAACAGCAGAAATGCATTCTCTTGAAGTTCTGAAGTCTGGAAGTTCGAAATCAAGGTGCCAGTAGGGCCATGCCTTCTCCGAAACCTCTAAGGAAGAATTTTTCTCTTGTCTCTTTTAGTTTCTGGTATTTTCTGATAATCCTTGGTGTTCCTCAGTTTGCAGATGCATCACTTGGATTTCTGTCTCCATCTTCTTATGCAAGGACACCCAACACATTCAGGACCCTGCCCAAATCAATGTGACTCCATTTTAACTTGATCTCATCTGCAAAGGCCTTATTTCCAAATAGGTTCTGGGTGGACCTGAGTTGGGAGAGAGGGGCATTATTCAACCTAGTACACCACTTTGTGCTATCTCTAGCCTCTAGAGCTCAGGGTCTTTTTGGACCAAAGTTTGCCTGGATTTTCCCTCATCCTTTTTAGGGTCTGGGGTTGCATTGAACCCCAACTAGTTCTTCTTGGTTGATGTTTCTAGCAGTTGCCACAAGCTGACCACATCTAGCCTGTGAGTTTAACAAATGGTATATTCAGGCCACAGGACTGCTGAATTTGAAGGAGAAAAAGAAAAAGCTGAGCAACTCAATAGCAGAAAAACAAGTAACCCAGTAAAAAATGGGCTGAGGACTTGAACAAACATTTCTCCTAAGAAGACACAATGGCCTGCAGGTGGATGAGACATGCTCAACACCACCAACATCAGGAAATGCAAGTCAAAACCACAATGAAACCTCACCTCACCCTTGTCAGGCAGCTATTACTGAGAAACAAATGACGAGTATTGGTGAGAAAGGAGAGAAATTGCGACACTGCATATTGCTAGTGAGAACGCAAATTGGCGCAGCCGCCACGGAAAACAGTGTAAAGATTCCTAAAAAAATTTAAAATAGAACTACCATACAGTCCACTAATTTTACTTCTGAGTATTTACCCAAAAGACTTGAAATCAGGATCCCAAAGAGATATTAGCCTTCCCATGTCCATTGCAACACTATTCACAATAGCCAAGGTGTGGAGACAGCCCAATGTCCACCGACAGGTGAAGGATAAAGGAAACATAGCGTGCACAAAGTGGAACACCAGTCAGCCTCAGAAAAGAAGGAAGTTCTGAAATATGTGAAACATGGGTGAGCCCTGAGGACATGAGCCAAGTGAGATCAGTCAGTCACAGAAAGACAATTACCGCACGTTTCCGTTTACCACCAAGTATCCAAAATAGTCAAAGTCATAGAATCAAAGAGGGAAGTGGTGGTAGTGGGGGCGGGGGCAGGGGCGGGGGAGTGGGTGTTCCGACCAACGGGCAAGGTGAGTAAGCTCTAGGTGCGCTGGACAACGTCGCTCCCCTCTGTAGTCAACGGCAGTGTACTGTGCACTTAAAAATTTGTTCAAGCATAGATCTCATGTGAAGTGTTCTTACCACAATAAATGAAAAGAAAGGAAAGAAGCTGAAAGAGGGATGTGGAAACAGTAAAAGTTAATGATGGAATCTTCACATATTATTTCAACTGGGCCTTTGGCAATTCGCACCTACTAGGCCTCGAGTCATAATTTCAGACAATAATGAAAAAGGAAGTTGCTGTGACAGCCACCACCCTCTACACCGGTGGCCGGCTGTGTGCACGCATAAACTAAAGGCTAGGACGTGTGCATAAACTTATAGCACCATCGCATCCCACCTTGGTGACCTTATGGGGACATGTTACCTGTGGGGGGTCTTCAGGTTAGACTCTGGGCATGGCAGTTACAAGCCAGACCACCTGGATTCAGTCCTGGGGTCCCGAGGCCAGGTATTTACCCTCTCCGTGCCTCAGTTTCCACATTTGTAAAAGGGTGATAGTATTTCACTTCTCATAGGAATAAATGAGTTGGTAATATATGTATAGCACTTAGAATAATGCCCGACAATATTGAAATGAGTTATCATTGCCATCATTATTATATAATTTTTGTCTGGCTAATAGCAATTTCAATATTTTACAAGTTTCTTCTTTAATTCCCTTATCACCCGCTCAGAGGTAAAACAGATGCTAATATGTGCATGTGGCTTTTGTTTCTTGTTTTTTAATTCTTCACTTGTTCTTTACATTATAGCCAGTCCTGGGAGAGTGTTCCTTTGTTATGAGGTCTTAAAGGGCCACGGACCAGGTGTCCGTCGAGAGAGTACCTCTCAGGAAGGTGTTAGGGAACTGACATCATAAACTCAAGTTAGCTCCAAGCTATTATTCAATTAATGGTTGCCATTCTGAGTGTGGCCTTATCGGTAACTTTAGCTCTGTGGGCAGGCACACCTGTGCCCTCCCATCTTTCAGATTTTATATAACGGAGCCCTGGCGTCTCAACTACTCAGGGGCGGGTCTCTTTCCAGCCCAGAGGAAAAGTGAGAACTGAATAGGGATGGGGCTCCTGATGGAGTTCAGGGAGAGGTAAAATAACTAATCTCACGGCAGTTACCTACAGCCAACACCATCAGAGGCGCCAGTTTCCCATTATAAACCTGAGCCTCTTCTGGGAGTGATTTGCAAGGCAGAAATAGGCACACAATTAGGCCCTCGCTATGAAAGCAGGCCTCGTTCCCGCCACACTGGAAGGCCACAGCAAAGCAAACCTTGAGGGGGAAGTAGTGTGTTGTGCTTTGGGAATGCATTTTTTTCTCCTTTTATTTTAAATAAAAAGTCTTAGTAAGTCCCCATTTCAGTGTGTTGGTTGGATTGTTTGCAGCTTCTTTGCAAGTGAGCCTGGGGGCCTTGCTCCCTGGGCCTCCGTGTGAGAGGAGCCGGGCCTGCGCCGCCAGACAAGGCCACAGTTTCCAGGGTAGCCAACAGCAAACCAGAGAGAGTGGATGATTTCTCCCTCCAGGTACCACGTCAGGGGACAATAAACCACTCTGTGGAAATCAGTTATATAGAGATCACTTCTATAGCCTTTCTGTTTATTCGTATGTTTGCTGAAAATAAATTCTTATCAAAGTCATGCCTCTGCAACCCACTCAGAGGTAAAGCTAGACTCGCCTCTCAGACAGACATTAAAGAAAATAAAAACATCAACACGCCGTTTGAGGGGGTGCTGGGAAGGAGGAAGGTGGTGAGGAGCAGGAGCATGCAAGCCCTCAGTCGTGTTGTCTGCTGTTGTCACACGCATGCTCCTGCCTCTCTCCCCGCCCAGCCCACGGAAGGCCACAAGCTCCTTGAGTAAACGCATTTGTGAATCCCCTGTGCAATCTTCTCCAGTGTCTTCTACGGAATTGATCGTCAATATGTATTTGTTTAGTAAAAGGATGATAAAAATAAATGGTTTATTGACACTAAAGGTCAAGTACTGATCAGAATAAGTATATTGATTCATGTGTTGAGTCTGCTGACTAGTGAGATATAGAAAGATAAGGTCAAAGTTTGAGGTATTTGTACTCACAGCATCCTTGTGCAACAAAGACCAAAGGGTCAAAGAGGGTACGCCTCAGGTGAATGTATTTATTTTATTTTATTTATTTATTTTAGAGAGAGGGAAAAGGAAAGAGAGAGAGGGAAAGGAACACCACTGTGTGGTTGTCTCTTGTGTGCCCCCTACTGGGGACCTGGCCTGCAACCCAGGCACGTGCCCTGACCGGGAATAGAACTGGTGACACATTGGTTCACGGGCCGGTACTTAATCCACTGAGCCACACCAGCCAGGGCTGAATGTATTTTTTTAGGTAGAGCCAAAGAAAAGCATTTCTAAGTGTTAGGACTGTCCTCAGAATGGACTGCTTTGAAAGAGAGAAATTACTGCTTAGTGGAGATATTCAAACACAGACTAGATGATTGCTTGGGGTATAGCAGTTGGTGGTCTAATATCATTAGTTTTAGACTATGTCATACTGAAGTTCTCTTTTTCTCTGAGACGCTCAGGTTCTATGGTTTTAGGAAGTTATAACTCCACATAATTGCCATGCCGGAAACTTACATTCTGCTCGGCGCATATTGACTGAGCCTCTACCATGTTCCAGGCACTGCCCGGCATAGACACTAGGAGGACAGGGATGAATAACAGAGGGGAACTGTCCTTTGAATTAGGCTGGGCCTTGGTTTTGGTCCGTCCTCGTCAGACCATTGTTCTGTTTGGGTGTCATAACCCTCTATTGCTTCTTGCTAATATGCACGTGCCAACTCAGGACTCTGGTTCCCTTTTTTCTAGGCTGGAATTGATGGGGAAAGCATTGGCAACTGTCCCTTCTCTCAGCGTCTGTTTATGATCCTCTGGCTGAAAGGAGTCGTGTTCAATGTCACCACTGTGGATCTGAAAAGGTAACAGATGCTGTATTAATGAGGAACGTGTTTAGCTGCAGGAACGAGGAGCCTTCCACGAGGGAAGGAAAAAGCCTTCCCATGGCGCCCAGCAGCCTCTTGCTCATGCCTTGGCCAGATCCCTGGTTCCAAGAGAGGCTGCAAAAGCCAGTATCACACTGGGGGCTGAGCACTTTGCTGCCCTGGTTAGCCAAGTTCAATTGGTAAGGAAAAAGGAGGGAGTGGACACTTGATGTACAGTTGAGAATGTCCGGCACAAACACGGACACAGACATCTTAAAATCTACAAGCTAGCTATTCCGGTAGTTCCAGGGCCCCCATCCTGGGAGACCCTAGCAGGACTTCGGGGGTGAGAGCCTGGGCTTCCAGGGAATTGGGATCCAGACCACTTCCCCTGCTCTGTTCTCATTCATCAGATCCCTTAATGCGAGAGTCTGGATTATACGCAGAGGAGGGAACGTTACCGTGTTCCCTTTTCTAAAGTGCAGTCTTAATGCCTGGTAAAAGTACCAGGCACGGCCCACGTTAAGGAGCCACACTTTTTATTTTATTTTATATTTTTCAATTACAGTTTATTCAATATATTTTTGCATGAACCCACACTCTTTTCAACCTTGTTTTCTGTTTCTTCTCGGTTGCCTGTGCTTTAAACGTGGAATAGCTTGGAGCTCACTCCCTGAGCATTTATCACATGCCTCGACTTTCTCCCCACAGTGATCTTAGCAACTTCTCTCCATCACCTTTGTGTAAATTATCTTATACCCAGAAGCCTGCTATCTTCTTGATATGTCCACTCGCATTTTCTATTATCACTTCAAAATGCATACGTATTTTATATGTCACTGTTCCTTTGAGTTGGGCTCCCCTCCTGGATTCCTTTGAGGTCCCATTTTATGGGCTCCCTTCTCTTGCCACGTCCTTTGTCAATTATTCTCCAGGCCAAGGCCTTCTCCCTGGTGCTCTCTCTTACCTCCATGCTCTCTCATTCATTCTCACGGCCCGCGCCTGGCTCAGGTCCCACTCCAACCAGTGGGTTTGTATATTTGTTCTTCAGACTGGTCTTCCTCCTTCCAGAGCCTTCCAGGTTTCTCTCTCTCTGTGTTTATGTCTCTCTCTCTCATCCTTCATATTGTCATAAGGTATTCTTCCTCAAACAATTCTCTAATCACATGGTTCTCTCAGCTCAGAATGCCTTCTGACACTCCCCACTGCCTGGGGAATAACTCATCTGCAGCTTTCCTTTGTCTTTGCCTTGGTTCTTCCCAATATTCTCTCCCAACACTTCTCTATGACCAAGCAGCCTGTTGGGTTGGAGTACCTCCTGCTGCCCTTGTTCTCTCCAGCCTCTAGCCCTAGGCTAGAATGCTCCCCCTGTCTCACAGAGGCTGTCCCCACCTTCCTGAATGGACAGATTATCCCAGCGCCCCTGCAGCTTCTGCCCCTCCCACTCCTCCACTCTCAGGCACATCTATCCCTCTGACCTCCCACCAAATTCCCCCAGCACCTGTGCCTGGCATTGTTGTTTGGTATTTCACCAGCTTATGGCACTCACAGTCCCTGCACTTTACAACTGGTGAGTGCTTTTCCATTAAAAAAAATCACACAACATATGACCCTGTGAAGGTCTTACTTGTTCCCTTTATATGAGAAAACTGAGATGGAGACATTTAAATGGCTTGCCCAAGATGCCCGTCTAGAATTGAAGGGGCTGCTTCTAAAGACCAGTCTTCTTGGTCCAAATACCAGTGCTCTTCACAACACATCAGTTATGAAGCTTCTTTTGTTCTTTGAATGAGACCTTAAATCCCTCAAGAAGAGGCTGGGATCAAGTTTTAAGTTTTCTTATATCTGCCATAGCAAATGACTTATTCAGACCCCTACTTAATATCTGTCAGATAAACAAACATGCATCTGCCATGAAGTTGTTATCTGTGACAGCTAAAGAGAGTAGATTTTCTTATGGTTTGAGAGAGGAGCTTCCTTCAACGGAGAAGAGGTCTCGGGATTATGGTTGATAAACACGGACTTGTTGTGTGTTACCTGGAGCTCAGAGCGGGAGAGGGAGTGCCCCGAATTCCGTAGATGCTTATGGTGTTGCTGCGTATCTGTTATCACGTCTGATCCTGCAACACCCTTTGTGGTGGGACAGCCAAGTACCTCAACTCCTGTTTTATAGATAAGGAAACTTTTCAACAGAAGGAGGTGGAGAAGAAGGAGGAGGGGAAGGAAGAAAGAAAGAGAGAGGAAAGAAGGAAGGAAGGAAGGAAGGAAGGAAGGAAGGAAGGAAGGAAGGAAGGAAGGAAGGAAGGAAGGAAGACATATAATAGTTAAGGATTTTTTTAAATGTATGATATAATATGATACAATGAAGTTCAGCAATTTCTAAGAAAATTGATTTCTTATCCTGGTACTACCATTTAGGGCTAAGTGACCTTGAATGAGTTACCCTAACTTTTATGAGCCTTGATTTGCTCATCTGTGCAATGTCATGCCTGACTTACTGGGTCACTGTGAGGGTCAGTGAGCAGCCCATGGAGAGCCCTTGCATGCAGTGCTGGCCAGGCTCAGAACAGGAGCTACACGTGAGTTGTCTGTTCTTAGTACCACCTCTGTCCTCAAGGAGCCGGCGATCAGCCAGCAAAAGAGGACTGGTACACATACAATAATCCATAAATTCAACTTGGCAATATGTACTTAAATGCTAAGCACACCATTTCAACCATACGTGGTGAAGGGGGCCAACAAAGAGAGAAGGACACGTCCAGCGGAGCTTCAGCAGCTGTGGGTAGTACCTCCCAAGGATGTCCAACTCCAGAGGCTATTGTTCTCTCCAGTCACAGGGAAAGAAAAAACCAAAAACATGAAGCTCTGTATCTTTAAGCCACAGAGAGGTAATTGCTAAAAAATAAAGTCAGTGTAGATTTCCCCTCCCTGCTGAGAAGCCAAGCATTGCTGCCTTGTGTCAGCTCCAAAAACAGGAGGAGGTCAAGAATGTCCTTTTATTGTCTGAAAAGGGGGACACACACAAAGCAAACAAAAGGACTAAGTAAATTAGATTTTAAAAATACTTTCAGTCTCAATTGCCCGGGAGTTTCAGTGTTCCAGAATGAAGCCGGAGGCTGTGTCTGGGAGACGGGAGGGGAGGAGCACTGTAATTGAAATTCTTCTCTTCCCCTCCCAAACTGATTACTCCAGGAATTTGGTTCATTACAGATTCCTCTTCTCTCGTTGTTTACTTTTTTTCAGTCCCTCCTTCTAAAGGTTTCCAATCCAGACTCCCACCAGAAGTGTTGCACCTCCCAGAGAGCATTTGGGGTGAAGCTGGCGCTCTGGTCCCTGGTGGAAGGCTCCATCCTCTTCCTCGTGTTCCTTCTCTCCCTGCTCTGGTCTCAGTGCAGCCCTCCCCACCCTCCAACCCCTCTGCCCTTGACTTTGCTCCATCTGCTCTTGCATTCCACCTGAGCAGCTGGAGGAAGAAGTGTACGGGTGGGCCGGAGCACCCCCTCCTCACCCTGTCAAACACGAGATCACTAGCTTTCCTGTTGAGTAGACCCTTAACAACACAGAAGGTATTTCTTAGTCTAAAAGTGCAACGATTGAATCCATTAACATACAAAGTTTGGAATTCTGAATAGTGCATTTTTGTTCAGCTAATTGGTGAAAGAACCAATTTTGAAAGCAAAGCCTGACAACCTCTGCCCTGGGCATTGAAAGCTTGGCATTTGTCATTACTCCCTATTTTTTTTTTTTGTAGTACTCAAGTCCTTCCTCTAAACTTGCTCCTCTCTCCTGGACTTCTGTGCCACATCGCATCCCCTCAGAACCTTCTCCAGCCTCCCCATCCTGCACTGTCTGTCTGTTCTTGCTGACAGGCACATTGGACAGTACGGGGAGTCTCATTTACAGCAAGTCCCAGGTTTCCCCAAACACAAGGTGCCCTGGTGTAAGCCACCGCTTGAATCTCCCTCTTTCCACAGGAAGCCAGCCGACCTGCACAACCTGGCCCCTGGCACCCACCCGCCCTTCCTGACCTTCAACGGGGATGTGAAGACCGACGTCAATAAGATCGAGGAGTTCCTGGAGGAGACTCTGACCCCTGAAAAGTAATGAGTTGTTTTTTTCTGCAAGTCAATGACTGGGAGGGGGCAGGGAGGGGTCCATGTTGGAAGTGAAAAAAGTCAGTGTTAACTTCGAGGTGGGAGATTTCCTAAGGAACGTCACTGATTCACAGCATAGAACCCTCTTTTCAAAGAGAGAGTCTGGGACACCCCTTCTTACCCACAAAGGGCTGCCTATCTCAGAACTGCTCCATGAAGTCCAGCCCCAAGTGCTCCTGTGACATGGAGCTGATCGCTCCCTCCTAAACGGAGTGACTTCGGGAGCACTGGGAGGGCTCCCACCCCTTCATCCCCGTGAGGGAGTCCTCTCTCCAGTTCACTCTGCCTGGAAGACCCTCAAGTGAGGGCACAGTCTCTCCAGTTTCCGAAGGAGAGCTGAAAGGCTAATGAAATGAAAATAAGCCAGGAGAGAGGTAACCCATGACTTCAGACTACACCGAGGGATAAATAAGAGTTGTACATCAGACCAGATCTGGTCTGAGCTCATAATTAAACATGAAAAACTGACTGAAAGCAGCATCTCTTCTGAAAATGAGCACCGGGAGGGGAGAGACCAGAGGGCTGTGGGTCTGCCTCAGGTACAATGAATAAACTGTGCCTGGTGGAAAATAGAAGCAAAGAAAAGTCAGGTAAATTCTGAAAGTAGCCAGAAACTAGACTTGCTCATTGTGCTGAATTGCAATGGAGGATGAAATAATCACAAGCACGTTTTTAAATAGAAAAATAGTATTACATAGAGCTCAGGTTTTATCCTGAAGGGTACGTACGCAGAAGACATGTATGAGAGCAAGCAAACACTCTCTAAGCAAACATGCTAGAAAACGGGTTCTCAGGCTCACTTTCAGGGTGGCGGGGAATGGGGAGGGCAGAGGTCTGAGGCGTTGGAGGTGAACCGGCCACCAGCCTCTGCTGGCTTCCCACTGACTTGAGAAGGGAGGTTGGGTGGCCTGGGTGGGCCCTCAGGCCCCTGGAGGAGCACCGGCTGACCCTCTGGCTCTCTAGGGGGCAGCAAAGCCCCCATAACTGTTCGGGGAGCGCTGGCCAGCCATGTGTTTCTCATCACTCCGCTGTTTGTAAAAGCTGCCAGAGAGCCAAGAAATTGTGGGAGCTTTCCCCCCTCTTAGCTTTACTTTTTAAAGGAAAAAAACCATACAAACACTCCAACACTTATTAAAAGATCACATTTGGGCTCACGAAACATTTGGTGTCAAAAGGAGGAATCCAGGATGTCTCAGGTACTTTCTAAATGAGAGAACTTCCATCCATCCCTTTACAGGAACCCAGTTAGTGCTCCACAGGGAAGCACTGGAATTAGCCTTGAGACCTGCTGGTCCTGCCTTTGATCTCTGCGGAATGGATTAGTGCTGAGACCTGCTGGTCCTTACCTCCGATCTCTGTGGAATGGCTAGAATTAATAGGATTCAGAACCAAGAGTCGGAAGACCTACCTCTAGGCACCTGTCTTAAGCCCTTGGGCAGGCCTCTCTCCTGCTCAGACCCTCCCAATTTCCTCATCTCTAAAATGAGGGGGTGACACGCTCTGGGCTCTAAAATGCTTTTCAGCAAGAGTTCTATGATGCCATGAGCATTTAAAAGTGCTTTCCCAGAGCTTGTTCTGCTTAAAATAACCCTAGTGCTCTGATGCTGTGATAAAAATTCAGTGGGGAGAGGGTAAACTGATACCGTCTAGTTTTGAGGCATGTCATTTAGTCAGTTAACTAACAAGCAATCTCTGAGCATTAGGGTTCAGAACACTACCAGAACTGGAAGACGCTTTGGATTCATTATTTTAAGAAATGTTTACAGACATGTCACCCTCTAACCCTCTGAGAGGTGGAGAAACAGCCTCAGTACCAGCGACAGAAATGGCTCAGTGGCTGAGAGTAGGGGCTGTGGAGTCAGAACACTGAGTTCTAATACGTATGCACCACTAGGTTGTGCTGCGGTAACAAGTTAGCCACGAAATGTCAGCCTAGAGACTGACGTAGAGAGAGAGCTCATTAAATGGCAGCTTGAAGAGTTTGGAAAAGAGGTCAGAGCCTCTTTCGTGACGGTCTCCCAGATGCAATTGTAAGGACCATTGGTGAGCGTGGATTCTAAAACCACGATCCCAGTGGGTAGGTGTCTTTTAATGAATAAGTCAGGTTCTGTCCACTTTCAAGGATTGTTTGTTTAAGTAACTTAAAAGAATATGGGTTTATGTCTCACTCCTGCAACACCCGAATGGGTGGTGTGGCCCTCTTCCATCTTAAGTCCTTTTTTAAAAATAAAGATTTTATTTATTTAGTTTTTAGAAAGAGGGAAAGGGAGAGAGGAAGAGAGGGCAAGAAACATTAATTTGAGAGAGAAATATCAGTCAGTTGCCTCTTACACAAGACCCAACCAGGCACCAAACCGGCAGTGCAGGCATGTACCCTGACCGGGAGTCAACTGGCGTCCTTTTGCTGTGCAGGACAATGCCCAACCACTGAGCCACACTGGTCAGGGCTCCATCATTAGCTCTTGGAATATGTGTCCTCCCAGACTCCTTCAGCACGGAAAGAGCAAGAAGAAAGATCATGCACAGTGTTTTTAAGGGCCAGGGCTGTGAGTGGGTATACTACTTTCCCTCCCATTCCGTTGGTGAGAATCCAGGCACATGCCTTCACCAGAGAGGGCGAAGCTGGGAAATGCAGAGAAGCACGTGGATATGTGTTGAGCATCAGTGGTCTCTGCCACAAGTAAATGACTTAACACCTTTTTAATATTTAATTTTCACATCTACGGCATGATGACCACAATGTCGATCTCGAGGGACTGTTAGAGAAGATAGTGCTACTCAGCCTAGAGACTGATATAGAGTGAGAGCTCATTAAATGGCAGTTTGAAGGGTTCAGAAAAGAGCTCAGTTCCTCTTTCGTGACTGTCTCCCAGATGCAATTGGAAGGACAATTGGTGAGCTTGGATTCTAAAACCACAGATCCCAGTGGGTGTCTTTTAATGAATAATCCAGGTTCTGTCCACCTTCAAGGATCATTTGTTTAAGTAGCAGAGACAGGACAAGGCAAGCACTCAGTCAAGGGTCGGAAGAGTTGGAAGCATTAACCTGCTTTCTAAGTGAAGACTTGGTGAGGTGACAGAGCAGGACTAATGGAGCAGAGACACAGGGGTGGTCCATCCACTTTTCAGGTAATTAGAAAAAGGAGGGTTCACCACTCCAGCTGCCAGGGGAGGCCCTGAAATCAGCAAAAGTCACTCCGTGAGGACAGGAAGACTGCCTCTCTCTTTCTCCAGTGTAGCCCCAATGCCACGGTCAGGGCTTGGCCTCTGGTAGATGCTTCCTGCATGTTGATTTAATCGCACAGGGGCCCATAGTTCAGTGGTGCGGCGGTCAGTGCTAGTCAATGAGAGGTCAGCTGGGACACACGGCCAGTCAGAGCACCTCTATCTGCAGTTATATATATATATATAACTATATATATATATATATATATGGCTACTATTTACAAAAGAAAGATATTTTTTGAGGAGAGACCAACTGTTTTACTTCCCAGAATGAAGCTTATGAGCATGTCTAAGATGAATGCATTTGAAAAAAGAGATCTTACAAACAGAGTAGAGAGAAATTTTCCTTAGTTAGAGCAGAGGCTGGCAATGTTCCTATACAGAGCTAGACAGTGAGTCCTCGAACCCTGGCTTGGCGGGCCTCTGTCTCAGCTCCTCTTACAAAGTGAGAGCAGCCATAGGCAGGATGTCAATGAATGGGCAGAGCTGTGCTCCAGTCAAATTTACTTATGAATACTGTGATTTGAATTTCATATTATTTTCTCATGTCACAAGCCAGTATCCCTCTTTTGATTTTGTTCAATCATTCAAAACTGTCAAAGCTATTCTTAGCTCCTGGGAGGTACGCAAACAGATGTCGGGCTGGCTTTGGCCTACCAGCCGCAGATTGCTGACCTCTGAGTTAGAGTTCTCCATTTCCTCGACTGTTATCAGACCACATCACAGCCATATTTCAAAGATGTTTCTGTACATGAAACAATATTCTCTAGCCTTTTGGAGAAAGAGAATGGATTCCAGAGCCCACTTATTGCATATTTAAAATACAATGTAAATATAGAGTAAAATACATATACTTAAGATCCTGCACAGTAACCTTACCGAAGCCAGTCACTGAAATCCGTGAGATGAGCGTTGGAAGACACACTTCCCACAAGGATAAGCTTCAAACGGGACACTGCTCCACAGTAAGGTCACAATGAATCCTAGTGCTTAGGACATACACAGCACCTTCATGGCCTCCCTGAGCACATGACCCTTTGTCCTGTCTTGGATTAGGTACCACCCACCTGTGTTTGGCCGACACTGATCATGAAGAAATGACCAGGTTACTGGAAGGGTGATCAAATGATGGCATTTAAAAAAAACAACTAACTAACACACCCAAACCCAAATGAAAATATATTTTCTAGACCCTTTTCTCTTCACATTATTACCTTAGCGAGCAAAAACAAAGCACTTGGGATAATAATTTAAGCCAATCAGTTCTAAGAGCATGCCAGATTCTATGTGAGAAAGCCAAAACAGGGAAGGGTTATCTTAAATTCTCATGTCCTGGCCGATTACCTATCATCTTGAAGTAAAGCTTGCTTTGTGTTCCCAATCAGAGCAGATGAATTTGATCATTCCTGGTACACTCAGAAAGACAGACGTGTGTGTAGAACCTATGCGGAGCGCCCCCTCCTGGTGGATGGAGAGAATTCACTCATCCTGCTCTGCACAGCTCCAGCAAGGTTTTGGGAGCTTTGAGGGTAAAACAGCAGAGTTGAAGACAGTCCCAGGAGAAGACGCTTAACAACTGGGCTTTCCAAAATGAAACTTCTTGGGCTGAACTTTTGGCTCTGCTACCTGGCCACGTAAGCTTAGAGAAGTGTCTTAACTTCTCTGCACCTCGTGTTTCTCAAGTGGGGCACAGAGAAGTGCCGACAGAGTTGCGAGGAGTAAACGATGCGTCCATGTGCGGGGCTGGTAGAGCGTCTGGCACAGAGCAGGCTGTCTCAGTACGAGTTGGCCTTCGCTGATAGCAGAGGCGCGTGTAAGGGACGGGAAGACCACTGCCAGTGGCGGCGACTGGGTGCTCGTGGCGCCCCCACTGCTTATTGTCTGTGGGCCCTCGAACGGACATTGAACCTCTCTGGCCTCCAATTGCTTTCCCTGTAACAAGAGGGGGACATTGCCTTCCGTCACTGCCTGATGGCAGAGAGCTGGACCCAGGAACGTTCCAAGGACTCATCCAGTGGCCATATCTGAAATTAATCAGCTACCTAACATAGCCCAAGAGTGGACAGGCCTAGCTAGTGGTCAGTGGAGGGGCAGGAAAAAAAAAGAAAGAACAACAAATAATTGGTAAGGGCTTTTGGGTTCAAGTTATTTAAGACATTAAACAAACAGGAAAAAAACCATTGTATTTTAAATAGAAAGCAACCAAACAGCTCACAGTCAACAGCTCTGCACCCAGAGATCACAAAGGGTCACGTGATGGATAGTGATGATAGCAGGCAGAGGTCTGAGCTCTCCTCTCACGCAAAGTGCTTGTGAGATGATTTTTTGGTGGAAATGGGGTCAAAGGCGACGATTCCCATGCATGCAAGTGTATCTCGTTCTGTCTCGAGGACTATTTTCTCAATAGTAAACAGGCCTAACCCCAGTTTGCCTTTTATATTCTTCCGGCTTCAAAATGAAAAAAAGAAAATATGCAAGTAAGAGGGACTGAGCATTGCAAAGCTGTACTTACACCTGGAAATAAGACATTGGCACACGCATCCTGCTGATGGAGTTTGGTCTTTATCTTATTACTGCACACAAATAAGGCGTGTGCAAAGGATGTTTCAGAAGAGGAGCATGGGAATTCTTCCTTTTGAGAAACGATTTCGAGGCCTCAGTGCCAAGGTGCCTAGCAAACCCCCTTGCTCCCAGAATTAACTACGTGCTGCCAAGATATGACCACTGGCCTGGTAGTGAGTAGCTGTTTTAATGTGCATTGGGGCAGTGTCAGGAGCATCGCCCGATACAGAGAGAGTTTGTTCAGAATTTTGATTGGGGCCCTTTGTTGGTGCATTGTTATTGGTGGTCCAGGAAGAGGACAGCCCTGTCCCCTCTGAGCAGTGTTCCGGTTCCCAGCCTCCAGACTGTGTACACCCCCCGCCCCGCCCTGCAGGCAACTCACAGGCCTGTTTTTGTCTACTGGGGAACTAGGACTGAGAACTAGAACTCGCCAAAGGGTGGGTGCAAAACCCCCAAAGATCTAATGACATGGCTAGAAACAGGAGTGTTTCTTGTGATGGGAACGGATTCTCTCTTAAAGGAGCTCCAAGTTCTCACTGATCTTAGAACCCCACGCCTCTCCTTCCAGGTACCCCAGACTGGCTGCAAAACACCGGGAATCCAACACAGCAGGCATCGACATCTTCTCCAAGTTCTCTGCCTACATCAAAAATACGAAGCAGCAAAACAATGCTGGTGAGTTGACACCCTGTCTCGAAGTCTCCCTGGCAGTGCTGTCCCCTGCCCAGCGCATCTCAGGTACTCAGGTCAGAGAAGCACCTGGCAGCAATGCTACTTGTTACTTGTCACTGTTGACACAGGCTTGTAGATCTTGCTTTCTGGCTAATGCAGGAGAAAAAGGCTAATGGGTCTTACTGCTGAACCGAAGGGAGGGATGCCGTGTGTGTTCTGAACCAGCCATAAGGCTGAGCATAGCGTCCTGCACAGAAGGGTCTGCCTCATACGGAGGCCCATTTGTCCCAAATTCATCAGCCTGCCTGTGCTCTATGGAAGTCCTGGTTGGAGCAACAGCTTTCTTCTGGTGCCTGAAAAATTTCTCAGGGGGTTGTCAGAGGCCATGGTGAGACAGCGCAGTCACCACAATGGCGAATGCTGAAGGCAGAGCCAGGCTGGCTGCGTTCTTCCTGCCGCCTGCTGCAGGTGCAGGGGGTCCTGGGGAAGCCACTGCTCAAAGCCTGGCTCCTCCCCCTCTGGCCTGGACCACAAAGCTCAGCACTCGGTTCTCCTGTGCTTCCTACTCAGAGGGCTTTGTGTATGCCTCATGAACGCTCACAGCACTTTTAGTCCCTCCTTGGGCACTGTCCTTTCAGAATTAGCTAAACCTATGGAGTAGAACCATCGAATCGAGCATGTAGAACACTGGAAGAACTGTTAGGCCCTAGAGAAGAAAGGAAGAAGGATGAGAAAGTTTGCTTGCCCGCTGAACGGGAGAACGAGAATGAACGACGGTCAGATAAACACCCAGTGGACCAGAACAGGTGGTCGAGGGCTCAGAGGAGAAAGGCCCCTCTCCAGACCAAGGTGACCAGGAGAGGCAGCCCTGAATGGGTGAAAGAGAAGAAATTTGGGCAGGTACAGAGTTCAGGCAGTGATAAGTAAATAATTCAGTAATGGTTACTGAGGACCTGGATTGTGCCAGACACAGAAATAGATTCTAGAAAAAGAACTAGAAAAAGATGCCCTCATCCTTTGAGGCCTGGGTTGATGCAGAAGAAAAGGTTTAAATCACAAAATGTCAAATAACCAGACAAGAAATAAATGGTGGCTTAATCAAAGGGAGTCTGAAGAGCTGATTAACTGTCCTGTGAAAAGGAGAAACAAAATCTACCAAGGGTGTTCAGAGCAGGAAAAATTTACCGTCAGGGCCTTTGAGAAAGTTTTTTGAAAATTTTCAACTGGATCATAAAGGTGAAAAGGGTATCAGTTGTCTGGAAACATTGGGTGGATGTTGTGGGAAGGGTGGGAAAATGCCAGCAGCAGAAAAGTGCCAGCCTGGAAGACTGGATTTATTGAGGGGGCAATGGCAGCCATTGGAAGTGCACGAGGAGGCACTATAAGAAGAGTGGCTTTTTAGGGACCATAAGAAGAAAGATGTGGAAACTATTTAAGTATATTTAGTGCACTTGCTATGTTGCACTTGTGCCCTGTGCTTGGTTGCATAGTGTCCTCCACAAACTCATGTCCATCCGGGACCTCAGAATGCAGCCTGACTGAGAAATAGGGTCTTCTCAGATGCAGTTAGTGGTCTTGAGATGGCATCCCCCTGGTGATCTAGATCCACCCACTGGCGCCCTTACAAAAAGAGGAGAGGACACACAGAGACTCAGGGCAGGAGGCCGTGAGGAGATGGAGCAGAGAGTGGAGCCACAAGTTAAGGGCGCCATGGGGCCACCAGAGGCTGAGGCCAGCAGAGTCCCCTCTAGAGCCTGGTGAGGGAGCATGGCCCTGCTGACACCTTGATTCTGGCCTTCTGGCCTCTAAAGTTGTAAGAGAATATATTTCTGTTGTTTTAAGCCACCCAGTTTGTGGCACTCTGTTGTGGCCATCCTGGAAACAAGGGCAGCCCCTCAGAGCCACTGCGTAAAAGGGCTGTTACTGCTGCTTTCCTGGCTGAGGACTCGGAGGTGAGTGAGAGGACCAGAGGCTTGTCCTCGCCTCCCCTTCGACCCCTCAGAGCCAGCTCTCGGCTCCAGTTTTCAGATTCCACACGCAGCGCCCTTTCCCTCAGCCACAAATATCTCCCTTCATACTTGTCAAAGCACCCTCAGAAAGTTTATCTCATCGGAGCCTTCCAGATTGTTCAAGTTATAAACGGTATTTACATATTATCCGTGCCTGCAGTTCTCCCATCCCCAAAGCCAAAGCCAGTTTCCACTGAGCATCGCGTATCGATTTCCCATAAACTCAACACTCTCCAGCTTTCATTGTTTCCGCTTCTTCTGTTTCACCCTGGTTTGCTCCGTGATGGGCTTTGCTCTTGTGACTCCCCCTCCCCCTGGCTCATTCGCACATTTCAAAGTGGCTGCATTTTTGCTTTCCCAGCATCTGTCCCCACAGATCACAGTCCCTGGCACTGTTCTCTTCTGCCTTTTAACAAGACAACACTGGTTCTTTCTTCATTGTGACTGTTGTAACTACAGTTTGCCCACTCCCCTCCTTTCCCCTATGCTTTCCTGCCTGACACCATTCCCCCTGGTCATGGCCAACCCGATCCAAAAGCCAAGGCTCCTGCAGAGAGCAGCGCCAGGGCCACACAGTCAAGACCTCCAGACCCCTGAGACAGTGCACTCCCCATCCCTGCTCCCTCGAGCTCCTCCGTAGTCAGGGTAGAGGACAGTCCCTCACAGATCCCTCAGACAGCTCCGCATTAGCACCAGGCTTTCTGTGACCTGCTCTCCTGCACCACTGCCTGGCCTTCCCCTCCAGCTCTGCATCTCTTCAGACTGTTCCTTTTGTGTTTTCACTTTTTTTCCTCTTGAGCAGAGCTCTCCTTCCCTTTCCACCATCTCACCACCTAATGTCCCAGTCCCGATAGGCACATTGTCTGTGGGTGGGGTCCTTTCCTGCCTTCCCAGCATCAGAGCATGAAAAGCCCAGCCTTGTGTTGGGTTCTGCAGGGTGGATCGTCTCTCCACTCCCGGGTGGGCACTGGAATGCTGTTGGAAATATCCCCTCTGTTCCACAAAACTGCAAGTCTTCAGCTACCAGAACCCAGAGCCCAGCCAGAACAGGTAGCACACGAGATAATCATTTTTCGTGTGTATATTCAGTCCTTCCTCCGTCCATTCAGCAAACACAGATTGCATGGCCTGGTTCGAATTCCAGGCCTGCACTGCTAGCTGTGCAGCTTTGCCTGGGAGACTTACTCTCTCTGAGCTTCTCTTTTGGCATCTGTAAGGCACACTAATCATACCTTCAATTTCTTCATCTGCCATATAAGGCAATGAATGGTGTAGCGGAAGTTTGTAATGCAGATGCATTCATTTTATAAGTCAATGCCTGCAAATCCTTTAGCACAGTGCTTGACACATGGTAAATGCTCATTAAATGTTAACTTTGATTATTAGTATCCCCAAAATGAGACAAGCATGAATATTGGCATCAGGAACTATTTCCTCACCTCTGACTTTTTCCCTAACCAGAGCTTCCAAATTGCCTACCCATTTAATCTCTTTTCTGTTTGTTTAACTTCATCTCCCAGTTTTTTGGTGCATTGTCCTCTCCAAAGCATGCATCAAAGAGGTCTGGTGGCCTGACCCTGGCAGTCAGACCTCGTATTGCTGAGTGTGACCCTGAGGTCATGGTTTTGTGACTGCCACTGTGTTGCCTCCTCCTTCTGTAATGACCAAAGCCAGCCCCCTTGGTCCACTGGGACCAGAGTCCACCTCCATGTCCTCTATGCCTGCCTTTTAAACTTGCTTTTCATTTCATTTAAACATAGCATGGATTTTCTCATGACAAAGTCTCCAGGTCCCACATTCAGTGAGATGTTATAAGGGCTCACTTTCTTGTCACTTGGGCCTTCCCACTCCTGCCCTTAGTTTGGGGTGGGAGAAACAGGACCTTGCTTCTGGATGTGCTGCATGTCCCCGTGGCTCAGAGGCAGGCAACTGCGAGGTGGTTGAACTCACAGGCTCTGAGGTTGACTGCCTGAGTTCTGACCCCCGGTTCACCTCTTGTGGATGTTGGGCAAGTCACATCACCTCTGTGTGCCTCGGTTTCTCCATCTGTAAAATGGGGTCATGACTGTGCCTACCTCATCGGCGTGCTGGGAACAATAGCCACCCCTGTGATCAGATGCCAGCTGTTGCTCTGAGCTGTTGTCTAGGGGCAAACAGTTCTACCCCAGCAGAGAGATCTGGGGTGAAAGTGCAGTTTGAGGATGTAGTTGTGTGTTAATCCATGAGTTTGAAGAGAACGCTAGAGATAGCATTCAAGGTCACCCACACTTGTGGGAGGACATAGGGAGAGCCGTCAGGGAGGAGACTCAGAGGCTCATGAAGATGAGGAAGGAAAGCTTTTTTATTAAAAAAAAAAAAGAGAAGAAAAACAAGAGTGATCTGTGGCATGAACACCGCACAGAAGTCCGTGGAGACTCTGTCTGCTGTGTGCTGCCCTGACCGTCCTCGCCTGCCTCAGCCCATCACTTGGATCCTGCTCCACAGGAGAGCTGGCCCAGGAAGCTGGGTATGTGGGGGAGACCCTGGGGCCTGGGAACAGGAGGGCACCCAGAGGGCATACCCATGGCCCCGAGGAGGGACAGAGCAGCACTGCGTTTAGATCTGGCCACTGGAGTCCCTGCTCTGGGCCCCGCACATCACTTGTTCGGTCCAGCAGGTAAGTGTGCCGTCAGTTGTTCAGTACTGCAGGTCCGCAGCGTTCTAACGCAAGACTGTGGGGAGGGCACAGGCTTTGTCCATCCCACCTCCACACGTCCAGTATCGTGCCTGGACCAGCCGCAGTCAGCTCCTCGTCCTGTGTCCTGCCTCCACACATGCTGCGCGGCCACAGTGGCCTGGCCCTCCACCTTCCACAGCCCGGGCAGCCTCCGTGTCCACCATCATTCCATCACTCTCTGCTAGCATCACTGCCAAAGACCCCCGGGTCCTGGCACTGCTCCTCACACCTCCTCTGAGACGCTGCTGAGTCCCGCAGGCCCCAGGCAACCGGAGACC